GCAACAATAATAACAAGGAAATTAATCCAAATCTACCCACCAACAACATCCTTGAAATTTTTTTTTTTTATTATTAAATCAGTGAGAATTCAAAAGAAATAAAGGACAGACATTACTCTGTTCCAAAACTGTTTGTTAATTTTTTTTCAAAGTTTCTCTATATTTAACTGAATGCAGCTTTTCAAGTCTATAAACTTGCTAGGAGTCTCTTGCTTGCTTAAGAAAGGGTATTAAACTTCCAAACAGTCAAATTTAAGCAAAAAACATTTCTCTATGCCTGAAAATTGAAATTAATGTTTTAGCCTCTAAATTTTTATAATGTTAAAATTTGAAAAGGTTCTTCTTAAATGTAAAACTCATCCTTAATTTTAATAATTTCAATTACCTCCCTTCATCATAATTAAAAACCCTTCTACATTTGGACTATATTTTCTCACTGCTTCTATAGAAAAAAATCATCTGTTCTTTTGCCCACCTCAACACTAATCTCTCTCCATTTAATATTCAATCTTTGATCTTAATTCTACCTTTTTTTTTCTCTAAGATTCTTAGTTTACCTATTTTTAGATTTTTTTTCAAACTGAGATATAATGAAATGTATAAAATTTCACTTTTATAAACAATCATTTCATATTTTTCAAAGAATTTCTAACATCCCTTGATAACATTTCAAATCTTTACAACACCTGAAATTATTTCTTTAAGACAATTTCTTGATCTACTCATTAACATGTTTGCTGCCTGTTCTAATTTCTGGTATAATGGATGTTTTTTCCCTGTCTATTGATGAAAGTATGCTATGATAATCCCATCACCACCACTCCATCCCACCCCAATCTCTTCTCCTTTCTAGTGCAGATTGGCGGACACAAGGCAATTTCTGAAATGTCACATGGAATAGATGATGACACCTGAATGGATGTCTTGACAAATAAATTGATTTTCTTTCATTCTTCACCTTTACTTTTCACTTCCTACACTTTAGACAGAATTTCCAACACTGTCCAAAATTGTTATTTCACAGCACTTTGGTAATGATGCTTTCTCCTTAACTCTGCAGATTTTTTTTTCCATTGTTTGTACAGAAAATCCCAAATATCCAGATTCTTCTGTTGGACTTTGATTTTATTTATTCTCATTTTGGTTCCAGAGTTTTTTTTCCCTTGTCAATTAATCATTGCTTCTATTTCAGGATCTTTGTTTTATTATTGTCATTAGCAGAAAATCACAAAACTTTAAAAGAAATCTACAATTTCAGAATTTAAATACAAATATTACATTAATCAAATGAAGGAGAAAGTTTGAAAATGCCAAAATTGTTGGAGTAATTATTGCTGCTTAATTATACCTCAACTCTAAAGCCTAAACTTCTTACCAAATAAGTGGCCATTTTAGCCATGAATTTTATTTACTATTTGCAGTATTTAAAAATAGTAATATAAGTAGTTGTCCATGTTTGATTGATTTGAAATAACTGCATATGTTTTAATATTCATATGAAATAGATGTCAACCTGCTTTTTCAAAAAGGTTAAAGTATATTGTTACCATCCATTTGGTCTATAGATTGCTGCAGTTAATAACCTCTCCCTGCATTGTGGTTGGGTAAATACTTCAACTAATCAATAAATTAAATATTGACTAGTCAGCTGACACAGCTTTGATCTTAATGAATGGGTACATTTTCTTTCTAATCAACTGCTTTATCTTTCAAACTCCTTTCATAAAATACTTGCTTCTCTTTGGCAAAACTTCTCTTAAATCCTAATTACTGAATGCCTCTATAATTGGGGGATACAAATCTTAATGTACTGAGGCCCTATTAATCATTTTTTGTTGCTTTTTTTTTTTTGTTTGTTTTTTTTGTCATGACTTAATTATTGTATAATATAAAGAGATAAAGTTGTAATCAAAAACTATTTATAGCTTTCATTACTCTCTTATCTACATGATGATAAATATTTTTTTTCATTCTTACAAGTTTTTATCATACAATGGAAATTAGAAACACTAAATATTGGCTTCAGAATAGATGAGTATTGTAGCGATCATTGATGCAGAAAGTGACAAGTTCAAATTTCAACTTGGTCTATTGCATTCACTTTCACACAAATGCTCTTGGGAAAGGCATGAATTCAACTCTTCACATCCTCCCAAGTATGGGTTAAATAGCAAGCTAGATCAAGTTCTCAAAACTTAGGTGGTTGCTGCTCTAAGAGAACAGCAGCTCTAAATTCCAAACTGGAAAAGTCAAGAGGAAACTACTTCATTAGCTTTCTCAAGACATAGCAATTCACACAGATTAAAAAATAATTTTGGATAGCCATGACTGCCTTTATAATGAAGGGACATGACATTAAAAAGAAAATCGTTTGCTTTATTGAAATTCTTAATAAGTCCTTTCCCTCCCAGTTCATATTATGTTAAAATAGTTTTTTTCATCAATTTTCTTTTAATTATGAAAAGGAGGGAGGGTTGTTTATCTTTGTACAAAGTTTATGTAATATTATTTGTTAACTATGTTCTTTTAACTTTCAGATAACTATTATGGAGAGTGTTAATTTTCCCAAGGATTGAACTGTTAATTCTTAGCTAACAAATATCGTTGAATTACTCTGACCCCTACCTTCTGCTAATTACAAATATGCCCACATTTTCCATAAGAGCTAACAATTAGTTCAGAGGAGAGAAAAAAATTCATTTGCTTCTGGAATCTATGCTGAACATTTTTACAGGTTAAACATTTCTAATAGCAGAACATAATTAACAGCTCTCCCCCATTTCACTTTTTATTTAGGCAATAGTGACTGCTTATTTATCACATTTTCCACATTGTTCATTCAATATAATCATTCCACTTCATGTCAATGAAAAATGTTAGCTCAAGAAGATGCAATGAGTTATTCTCCGGGAAGTTAGCATCAGCCATGATGATGGAAGGCAAAAAAGTTTCTTTAAGACAATTAAGAGAGAGCAGTTTCATTTCGAGACATTAGAATTAACGAGCCATTTCTTTCCTCAGTTAACAACTGATTGAATGTTATTTTTTAGATCAGCTAGCAGTCTGATCTCATCAAACCTGTCACACTTACCATTAAGACAGGCATAAATAGTTGTCATCAACATATACAAATTCAAGAACTGATAGCATCATTTGTTAATGAAAATTAGGAACAAAGTAGGTGAAAAGATAGAGCCCTTATATTAAAAAAAAAAAAAAAAAAACATCTAGAAACATGGCCATTCAAGACAATTGAATTTGATAAAAAATATAGAATCTGATTAAAAATTTGTCCAGAAATACCATAACCTTTCAACTTTATCTTACAACATTCCTTAAAATCTCTTTTGAATATGCCAACCACTTTCTCTTCCTTTCTCCAACAATGAATCTTCAAATCCCTTGTTTCCATTCTGTTAAAACATTTGAAAAGGTTTTCACTCCAGAGTCCAAAAAGAAGTATTTGAATTATATCAAGTGATTAAATATTTCTTCACAATTTGATGCTGCTGCCATACTGCTTTTAATTAATTTGCAAAGCATCCATTTACTTATCTGTTGATTTATCATTTACAGAATATTTACATGTCGCTATATATTCTTTAAAAAAATATCTTCTTACTCTATCAAGTCTCCACCTTTGTTTTCAAAATGCTTCTTTTCTTTGTCCCTTAAGGTTTACACAGGAATAAATGACACCTACCTTTTTAATAAATTTTATCCTGCAATTTAAGTGTCAGTCTATTTCTTGACTTTAGTAATCCTTGTTAATAAATGTAAGATTTTTACTAAAGTTTCTGTGTTTTGGCAGCTGTTGTTATAGATTACCTTGACATGTTTATGATTCTGCAATACAAATACTTTTCTACAATCTCCTTTTATTCTTTTCATAATGAACCAGATCTTTGCAATTCCAATCCTTATGCTTCTTATTTTCAAAACATTTACAGGGAGGATGAACTATTTAGTTTCTGCCCCAAATTCTACTTTGAATAAATTTTTATTTCCAAGTTAGTTTGAACTTAATCAGTTTACATACAACATCCACTTTTTATTGCTGTCTGTATTGACATAAGATAATTTTCTCAACTTGAAATTTGCATGAGATAAAATTTTTCTTGCTTTTCATTTGAAGATTGTATATGATGCAGACTTTTAAAGGTTTTTGCTTTCATTTCTTAAAAAAAAAAAAAAAAAACAACAGGCATAAAACTTCCTCTGCCCACCATTTCTTGCAACATCTGTCCTTTTATATTTGATCTCTTTTTACTTTGTGATGTCCATTTTAATTTTTATTTGATCCTATGTAGAAATGTTTAGGAAATTTTCTTTTGCTCTCTCTTCAATTTGAATGCTTTAAAGAATTTGAGAAATGGTAATCTGATGGTTTTCTATTATTAAGTAATTTTTTGATGGCAATTCTTAAACCTTGACTTCATATATTGGCCTACACCTGAACTATCTATCCATTATCAAATACCCCCATAGAAAATGCATAGAAATTCTTAATTTTGTAACATTACAAAATTTATTTATAAAAAATAAGATATGGATCTGACCAGTATATATGCAAAAATGAAATGGAGGTTGTAGTGAAAATCATCTTTGAAACTACATGTTTATCCCACTGTAGTTTTATACAATTTTGATGAAGAAATGGGAAGGTTTAGAAGTAATTGAACTCTTTAAATGTTAGTTCCATTGAATGTTTGCTTTAGTTCTGTGTATTTCATTAATGTTTATGGAAGGTGGGCTTTATTTGCTTCATTTTGATTACTCAGGTTTAGATTGTATACAAAAATCCACTTGACCATGTAATTCTGCAAAGAATCAAGATATTATGAAAGCAAATTTGATTCTAAAATGATTTGTACTGTCAAATGCAAAAAAAAAAAACTCTGCTTAATTACCAAAATAAAAATACTGCCAACCACACATCATTTCTGTTCAAACTATAGAATGTTTTTTTTTTTTTTTTTTTTTTTTTTTTTAAATCTTAGGTAACAGATTTTGGTTTTGCCAAGCGAGTCAAAGGAAGAACCTGGACACTGTGTGGTACCCCAGAATATTTGGCTCCTGAAATTATTCTCAGTAAGGTAAGTCTTTTCCATTTTGTCTAAGATCATCTCTTCTAAAGAAGTTGAGTGTAAGCATTGAAGTTCAAGGTAAAATATATTGCTATTATTTTATTTTTATTTTTTTTATCTTCATGTTTGAAGTGAAAAATTTATCTTGTACATTTTTAAGTCTTGTTAAATTATAAATTAATTCTACTTAATGTGCATATGTTATTAAAATTATTTTCCTAATTACTGTCTATGAATTAAACAAGTGAAAAAAAAAATTGTGTGTAATCACTTTAATATATATATTTTATTTTTTCTTGTTCTTTCTAGGGCTATAACAAAGCTGTGGACTGGTGGGCCCTTGGTGTGTTAGTATATGAAATGGCTGCAGGATATCCACCATTCTTTGCTGATCAGCCCATCCAGATCTATGAAAAAATTGTGTCAGGCAAGGTAAGAAAGAGTCTGGTATTAAGAACAACACTTTCTCAAGAAATTCTGAATGACTAAGTAAATAAACTGCTTGTATTGATGAGTTTTAGTTGAGAATTTTAAAAATGCTCCAGTTTTACTCTAGAGAGTTTTAAGCATTTTCCTTTTTTTTCCTTATTAAATTGGATTTTGAGAAAACTCAGAATTTTTGATTTTGTATTTGTTTTTGATTACTTTAAGGTGTCATATTTTCTTAACAGAATCTGTGATTATAGCAAAGAATCTAAACTTAATAAAAACAGCAAGGTTAAGTAGACTAGTTTTGGAGATAATGTTCATCATTTTACAGGTTTATACTGATAAAAAACAAAACAAAAAAAGAATGTATGGCCTTCCGTTCAGACTATTATGCTCATCTTGGTTGATATATTAAGTGTCTGTCACTCTCAGTAATCTTATAGAAATTTTAAAGTGAATCCATTATTCAAAGCACTAGAGTAAATTGTTGTTCTCTTTTGATGTTTAGAGGATATTTTGTATCAATTAATTCTCTCTTGTCCTTTTAATTTTGTGTTGCTTGTCTATTACTTCCATTAAACCAGATTATTTGACTTTTTGCATTAACTGACCTAGGGATTGAACTCTCAACTGTCAGGGAACCAGATATGCTCTAACCAATGCTTTAATCTGAGACCATCTTTTTCTCCAAAAGTGACAAAACCAGCTGAGTATTAGCTGATATGAAATATCACTTTATTGCCTGGTCCATTCACCTCTCCCATCTTTTGCACAGGAGTAGATTATCTCTTGTTTCCTGTTTAGTATGGGGTTTTCAGTTTTCTTCTTTGTAGTGAACATGTCTGTGTAACATCAGCGAGCAACTATAACTCAGATTTACTAAAATCTGTGCATTGCCAAAGCGGACATCCCGGTGTAAAACGGACCTTATATTTCGTGAGGCAGATTTATCCCTCTGTATCCAAAGCTGCTGTCAGGGCAGTGGTCAGAGGATGCAAGGAGTGTCAGTCCATCGACCCAGCACCTGTGCAATGGGAAAAAGAAAATTCAGGCAGTTTTGGCTACGGCGTTCGTGAGTTATTTTCCTGACGCGTTACAAGTGATTTTCTTTCTTTGTGTTGTGAAAGCCACAAATTTGCTTTGAGAATGCTTACTCTTCATTCTTCTATAAGGGTGATTGTCCATACATTTTGATAATGATTGGCTGGAGACTGACTCTTCATACTGAGGGTATCAGGTTGGCAGTTTTCTAGTTGCTGCATCCAGACTTGTAGTTAAGAGCCTGAACTCTTGTGTAGCATCTAGAGAGGCTGCTCTGATCAACAGTCACATAATACTGGGGTTCTTGCAGTGCCATGTCACACATAGATAGATGGCCCCGCAAGCATTTCCAGTGTGCAATCCTGAGGGCACATTATACTGCAGTCTGCACCAATTTCCAGCCAGCTAAATTTGCCTTTGACAACCAGCAGCTACTATTATTCTTGGCTTTTTTTACCTTAAAACAATATCATGATCAAACCGATTAAAGAAAATAAAACTAAACCAGCTCGCAAAATATAACACCTAAGCCCCTAAACCTTTCTTCAACATTCAACTTGTGTAGTTAAGAATTGTTTCTCTTGGAACATTCTTCAGACATCTTAGCTCTCTGTGAAACTAATCTAAACTTTACAATCTCTTCCTCTGAATTCTCTGTTCCTGGTTATCTTTTGAAAGGACTGCAGTGTCCACATGCATGGCCTTGGTATCTATGTTTGCAAAGATCTCCCACTGGCAAGGGAGCTGTTTCGTCAATCCCTGTATTATTCTTATACATACTTTTGACTTTCACAATTAAACTTGATCAATCATCTTTTTCATTTATCATTCCACTTCTTCTCATGACTGTTGCTTGCTAGATAGAATTTCTGATAATATAGTCCTTCTCTCTACGTTCATCTGCAAATATCTTTGTGTTCGCAGATTTCACTGTCTATTATGTCAAGTGTCTTCATCACTTTACTGCCACTAACCTCACTGGTATCCAGACTTCGAAATTCACTTGCTTAATCTCTCATTCAAATAATAGATTTCCCTACGTGTTTCCCTAGTAATTCTGACACACACTTCTGTACTTGATCTCTTCCCCAAACTCATGTCATGCTCTGTAGCTCTGTCCTTTTGGCAACTCCAACTAAGCAGTAGTGTCTGCAGATATCTCTTTGTGCGCACATATCAGGCAAGAACCTCCTATTAACAGAGAATTTTTCTATTCTCAATGCACTGATTGAGATTTATTTCATGGTTTTCTTTGCATTGCCCATTGGAATTATATTTTTATGCATCCTGTTGAGAAATGTGCCACTGCGGTTTCTTTTTAGGTGAAAGCCATTATCAAAGCTTTTGTGCCAACACAGAAATACCAAGTGAAACCACAATCTTCTCCTTGGTTTTCTCCTGCCTGTTCTGCCACTATAATCAAGAATCCCTTCTTCCAGCTATGCCAATGCAACTGATCCAATAACAACAGACATCTCTTTGTAACCACTGATAATGAGTATAAATGTATCCTGAAAAAGGCAAGGTCACTATTCGCTGATAGAATGAGACACCATATAGCCTCTTTTAGAGATTATTGGTGGCTTTGTAAGAATGTACTGAACAAGAGCAAATCCTCAGTCCCTCCTCGCTTCAATAAATTTGAAATATTATCATTTATTGCAGATAAAACAAAAGCTTTGCTTGGAAGTTCTCTTCTAATTCCACTCTCTACTCATCAGGAGGATATTTGCCTGATTTCCCCCCTAGAACAGTCAGTGCCTCTACTAAATAATATACACCTAAATCCAGCCATGCATTTTACTATCATTTCTAAACTAGATCCCCCCACCACCACCACAAGGCTCTCAGATTCAACAGTATCCTTGCAATTCTCCTAAAGAAATGTGTTCCTGAACTGCCTCCTGTTCTTTACAGACTTTAATATCAAATCGATTTCTAGGTCTACTGCTAGGACAATTTGTCGCATCAAAATCTTTTTTGCACATTTATAAATCTACCATTCATCCTTGCATTGAATAATGCTGTCATATATGGTCTGGTACTCCTACTATATATTCTGAGATTCTTGAAAAAATTCAAAGAAGGGTTTGTAATGTTATCAATCCTGACCTGGCATCTTGACTTCAATCACTTTCTCACCAATTTGATGTGGCTTCTCCATCTTTTCTACAAATATTTTCATGGCAATTGTTTTTATCAGCTCTCCTCTTTGGTGTCTCAACTGCATGAATTTAAGCCTACTACTAGATTGGCAACTAGGTCTCACCATTTTATTGTTGAACTAGCTTGATGCAATTATATGTTCTATTCTAATAGTTTCTTTTCTTACACTTCTCACCTGTGGAATTTCCTTTCAATTTCTTGCTTCTCTGCCATTTATAATCTTCAAAAATTTAAATGCAATGCCAATCACCATCTTTTGTCTCCCTGAATCCTGTTTTTCTTTTTATTGTCTTTTCAACTCACTAAAGTCTTCTCAATCTCTTTCACTCTCAGTAGTGGCATTATTGCCTTGCATGGGGTGAAATGATTAAGAAAAAAATTGCATGAATAGCAAAATGAGGATAATCTATCCCACTGTGGCTAGAATAAAGGATAAAGATACTAAATACAAAGACAAGCACCTAAAGAAAAGCCAGATGGACTGAAACATGGGTATGACAACCAACATGAGGATACTCATCTGAATGAAAATGTATGTAATAATGGCAATTACTCATCTTAAAAATTCAATCTAATGGAATAAATATTTTGCTGTTTTCATCTGTTTGTAAAATCCAAATATCTTCCATGCAAAGTCACTCAACAGCACACACAAATTCCACAATTTTGACTATTTCACTGCTTTGTGCACTGGCTTTAATGCCTTTTATAGTCAGTGAAGATCAATCTACTGTTGTACTGTAGTACCACTGGAATAGCCTTTAACCTAAAAATGATTATGCAAAACTGTTATTTCTGTATTTTATGTAATTTAGAACAAAGATATTCAATAGAAAAACAACTTAAAAAATCAGTATGCAGTTAAAAAAAAGCAAAAAAACTGTCATCTTTGAGGACAGCTTCAAGGTAACTGCATAACAAAATCAACTGGCTTTTGTTCATGTTGGCAATGTACATCTATGACTGAACTTCAATATATCCATGGTATTGTAGAGCCAATGTTTGGCCTATGTCTCAAAAATGTCTTAGATATAGTTGTCTAGAGGAATCAAATTAATAAGTGACAGTATTGTGAAAAATATTGGTCAGCCAGTCCTGGATCACGTGAGAGTGAGCGTCATTCCAGGACTTTGTTCACTACTTGATGTAGGCAATAGCATTGCACTGAGGCTCTGTAGAAAGAAGTGCAAGCAGCAGAATATTGCCATCTTAGGTTACATGAACTTGTGTGCATCACTGTGGTTACTTTCATGGGGTCAGCACAGAAGCACCTGATGTTCACCTTTTATGGAGAAGAGCCAAACATGTTTGTCTCCTCAGATTTCTTGAACTTTTTCAGCAAGCACTTCAATTGGTTTATACTATTCTCTTGTGTCTTGTTAAACATAAACTGCTCTCTATTCCTCATGTTGTAGCTTTATATATGACAATGGACTCCATCATCTGGACCCTCACTGACTTGCTGGAGTGTTGGTTGACAATGTCCAGTATCTGACATCTGACCACATTGAATGTTTCTTTCTATTGGGTACAGATGACCTGTTCCAGAAAGCATATGGCCAGCTACTCACTCAACTGAATTATGATAACCTATTTCATGCAAGCTATTCTTCCTATAAAAATTACCACTGAATATTACTTATGTAAATAAAACACATGGCCCATTGGTTGGTTTTGGCCGTTTTTCAGACAGCCTTTTCTCTGAAATTATTCTGCAACCCCAGTTTTATATAAACACTTTAATCCCCAGGGATTTTAGCAATAATGTTTGATTTCAACCAATTTACCCAACTTGGCAAGTGTAGTTAGCTGTACAGTTATTATTCAGGTCTGATTTTTCCCTCAAATCATCTAAATTCTCAAAACTAATTAACTTTCTTTATTGGTTGTTTAATTCATTTAATTCCAATGACCATTAAATGCAATTAATCCTTCTCTCACATTTTCCTCCAATTCTATACTATAAAATTAGGCTTTTCTAAATTTTTAACTGTTCCTCAACCACTGTCAAACTTTGAGGGATCTACTTCCTCTGTATGAGTAGGTCACCATGCCACCTCATATAACTATAACTTCCTAATTGTTTGGACAATTATAATTTCATCTGATTTATCTGTAGTCACTTAGAATTTAATCATCAATCAGATACTTGAAGAGGTAAAAAAAAAAAAAATGATAAACTTTTTTAAATATTTTTTCTTCACTGAACTTAGTTTCTAAATTTATACAAAATCATCTTAGTTTTGAATTGAAATGTTTGTTACAAAACCACTTTTATTCAAGTGTTTTCTACCCTTGTTTTTTTTAGGTGCGATTCCCATCCCACTTCAGCTCAGATCTCAAGGATTTATTGCGGAATTTACTCCAAGTAGATCTAACCAAGCGATATGGAAATCTGAAAAATGGCGTGAATGATATAAAAAATCACAAATGGTTTTCTATCACAGAATGGATAGCCATTTATCAAAAGAAGGTAAGCATATTTTGCAATGCCATATCAGTTTTCTTGATATTTCAATTTTCATTTAAACTTTAACACAAGTAGCTTTGTAACCAAACTTATTTTCTTGTGAATTATTTGACATTTTTATGAGTTTTTCACTTGGCTAAGAATTACCTTAAGTCCTGAAACCTACATACATTTTCCATATATTTTCCTCCAAAATTCAATGCACTCATTTTCTCAAGTTTCTTTAACTCTACCCTAAAAATAGGTTGTTTGAAATATAGTTCTGTTGTTTCTATCACCTTTAAATCATTAAAAAAAAATCTAAGTGGTTGGATGTATATGGATCAAGATCTGTTGAGTACAGTAGATGGCCTATACACTCCATTAATTATTTGGCCTTAGTCAAGATAGTCAACAAAATATCTTCCTTATCCCCCAAAATTTTACTTTCTTCCACCATTAAGAGTGCTGCCATTGCATTGTCTGTTTGGTTTCATCCTCAGTGAAAAGTTGTTTCTGAATGGTTATTAGATTGCAGAAAATGCTGAAAAAAATCACTTTGGAGGCATTCACTTGATATTATTTCAGTACTCCCCTAACTAGCAGTATCCCTATAACCAACTGATCATGAATTATAAACCTAATATGTTCCCTGGATATTTCTCATGTTTTAGCAGTTCTCTTGACCAAAATTTACTGAATGCCCTAAATTAGGTCATGAACATCATCAACACTTTCAAGAATTGACACTCAGATCATGCTGTATATTAAGTCTCAATATTTTCATGCTGGGATTTAAACCATCACTTCTTCACAATTGATGATGAAGAATACTTGTCACCCATGACCACCTAAGTTTCAACATTTGAATATGCCACACTTTCCATTGACAATTTTCAGTCAATGATCTGAAACCAAAAAAAAAAAAAATATGCATAAAGATTAAGTAAGTTGACACTTTGCAGTATAAAAGAACACTCTTTTCAGCTACATTGAAAAGTAATGATTAGATTTTGGGAAGTGGGACAGGCTTAAAATTTTTCAGCGCCATCTCATCTGAATAATTTGAATTTCAACAGCCTAATTAGAACTGGAAATGTTTTTCCTCATTTGGAAATGACTCTCGTTTCTGCTGAAACATAGAAAAATCTGGACTTAATTTTCTCTATTCTTGGCTTTGTTTTTGCTAATTGTATGTTTTTATTTTACTTTCTTTTTAGGTTGAAGCTCCTTTTATTCCAAAATGCAAAGGTCCTGGTGATGCCAGTAACTTTGATGACTATGAAGAAGAACCTTTGAGGATTTCCTCCACGGAAAAGTGTGCTAAAGAATTTGCTGACTTTTAAGGGATACCAAATATTATCCCTACAAGACAAAAACAAAACAAAAACCTTCATTCTATTTAAACCATGTTTTCTGGTCTGACGTTTTGTACCCCCCCTTGTAAACGCTGTCAACATTGCAGTTGGCATCATCAGCATTTTAGAAATTTATTGCATCCCTTGTGCAATAGGACTCCATATGACGACGTATACATCAACTACAAGGAGGTGTTACATTGTCTGTGTGCACATGTACACACACACACACACATATACATACACACTCTCACACACACCACATGGCTGGCTAACGCAAGGCAGGGATTTTGGTCCTAGCATTTTGTGGACAAAGCCATTTAACTGCTGGATGTGGGGATGGGGGCATGTACAGTGGCCTACCTACCTATCTACCTACCTACTTGCACAAGAATACTTCTCTTTTTCTCTTTCTCTTGGTCTGTAAAAAATGAGTCACTGAAAAGATTAGTTAATAATTTTCCCCCTTCTACAAAATGATCTTCAGTGATATTGAAGAACAGCAACCACTTGAAATAAAACTGTTGCCTTGCTTGGACAGTTTTAGTTGGCGGCTTCATTTGCTACCATTTCACTTATTTCTCTTTGGTTGATGTAAACAAATTTCCCTCTTACCTGCAGTGGAAGTGCAGTTTCTACACTTGAGATTTATTGGACGAGATTTTTGATGAAAGCTTACATCCATCCAATCTAATTTTCCTTGATTAAAATAATGTACAAAGTCCTAATCTAAAATCCCAGAGTCTGCACAAATACAAAATTATTACGATCAAAATCCTCTCAACAGACTGAATTAGCCAATTGGATTTTCATAAAACCTTGTGCAGTTATCACAAAATATTGAATTTTCACTGGGAGGGAATGAATTCTTCAGTATTATTTGCTAGTAGAAAATCTCTTGTACAAAATGAGGCTGAATATTTAAATCCTGAAAAATGTTTAGCTGGCAGCTCTCCAATACTTAAAAAAGGAATTCATTATACCCCCTACGTTTCATTCTGATTACCCACATTCTTTGTCTTAGTGAAAGAAACTTGAGTTAGATCTACATGTCTGTATTATTATTATTATTATTATTATTCAATTGCTTTTTGCACAATTTTCCTCAAGTTTCTAAATTTTCGTATCTAGGTGGGTCATAAATGAATATTATTGAAGGCAAACAATTGTGGATAATGGATATTTGCTGATGATACCCCCTTTCATTCCTTATTTCCGTGTTTGTTTGTTTGTTTTTTCTCTCTCCAAATCAAAAGTGCTGCAGCTTCTGTTTGGAAGCAAGCACTCCCTCCTCCTACTGTTGGGTGTGTAAAAGTCAGCTTGACTGAACTTGTATCACCTACGTGTTCTGTCAGAGGTTACTCGATTTGTATATGAGCTTTGTTTTCTTGACACTGCCTTCATGTGTGTAGCTTTACTGAATGATGAAACTGCCCTCTCCACTGACTGCCAGTGCCAGGAAGGGGCTCACCATTTCTGTAATGCTGGTCACTCATCAGCTATGGAGTAGAGTAGAAATGAACCCAGAAATCTTATTACATCCTTTGAGCTTGAGGTCATGTACATATGATTGTTTCTGTTCAGTGAGACAAAATCTCATGGGATGGGTGCATTGGGTAAGGAAGGGTGTGCCATGGAGTTAAACTTGCATAATGTAAGCATTCATTCATTGTCTCCGGTTTTAACCAGATATAACTATATAGATATATGGTCATAATAACCAGATCTGCTGGCTGCAGTATCACATGTGTTTGGTCTAAATGCTAAAAAGAAAAAAAACAAAAAAAAGAAACAAAAAAAAAAAGAGATAAGAATATTTTAAAAAAAAACAAAAAAAAACAGCATATTGTTCAGTCCGCATAATCTACAAGAAAAAAATTACAAATTTAAAAGTTGGAAAAAGAAAAGAAAAATCGCAGACTTAAATTTCCCACAAATCCAAGGGAATTAGCATCAACCCCACCCCCTACCACACATGCGTGCACACACGGACACACATACACACAGTATTTGTGTTGTATAATCTTCACCTTCTCTTAAGTATATATGAACATGTAAGAGTTTGCGTGTGTATTATCATGTCTATAATGTATGAATGCTTTGCATGTATGCATGTGTATAATGTATGTGTGTGCGTGTGTAACTGTGAACATGTGTGTCACTTTCTATAATAGCTAGGTTTTATCACATTTTATCAAAGATTTTGTCATTAAATTTTGCAGGAATTGTCTTCTGGGCTTGTCCCATCTTCACACGTTCAATTGTGGATGTTATTTACCATTATGGATGTGTGCGACGTTTTGCTGTCGCCAGTCCTGTATATTTCCGCACAAAATGAAAAAACAAAAAAAAAAAAAAAAAAAGATAATCCAGAACTTAAGACTCATAAAGCTTTCTTTGTGATGCTGTCAGAAGACTTTCTCCCACATTGATATATGTACGTGCATGCTTATGTTATGCCAAACAGATTGAGTGCCTATCTCAGCTTGCAGTAACAATTCAGTCTTGCAAATTCTCTTCCTCCTGCAAGAACAATTTAATCATTTTAGTTTATTTTTATATATATATATATATATATATATATATATATATATAGTATGTGTGTGTATGTCTATGTGTTAAGCTTTTCTTCTGTTTCCACATCATAACACAATTCCCTTTTTCTTCTCCCCCTCCCTTTTACTCTTCTTGAATCTCAATAGAACCATTTGATACAAACAAATCTGGCATTAATGTTTGCAGCAAGACTACAAGTTGTCACTGCATGTTGTGAAATGTAATCACTGAGACTAAACTGTTTGGTTACCTTCCTCCTTATTTTTTTCTCTTTTTTCCTTTTCTAACGGGAGAGGGGGACTTTTTTCTTAGATATTAATATCTGCTTTTTTACCCACCTAACCCTCTACCTAACTGCTGACTTCACTCACTTTCTTACAATTCTTGTTCTTTAATCTGCTGCACCCACCAACTTGTATTGAGTATTTTTCAAGTTGCCTCCATAGACAATGTACAAGTGACGTTGTGGGCACCTGCTGCCACCCTGGACCTCACAATTGGGTGGCCTCTTGCTCTTCTACTGGATACAATAGAATGAAATTTACATTTCCTAATGACCATCTGTTTATCCTCTCCATTTAGAGTTCTAAAATTTCCTCTTGAACTATTTATAGACCTTTATCTGACCCCCTCCCCCTCCTCCACTGCATCTCTTTCTGCCACAAGTTGTGTAAGGTTGACGTCTACAGCCTGTGTCCGTGCCTAACTCACTAATTCTGATTGTGTTTATTTGTATCATCTTGTACAAAGGTTATTGTACGGCATGAACAAACAGCTTCTAGTGGTACCACCAATGTTTGTAGACTTTTTCAAGTGACTGAATAAAATTATTCAATGCTGTTTCTTTCTTGTTGTGTTTCTTTTTCTTTGCCCTGGATAAATATATTAATGCATCTCTTGGCAATTAACTCTTCTATCTTAGACATGTATGTTTTGTTCAATTAATCCAAGTTGAGGACATTATCTTTCTTTTATTCCCTTAAACCCCATACCCACTCTCTCTTGGGGATTGGTCATCCTCTTTTTCCAAACAGCCAAAATGTCAGTTTCATTTGTTCACTTGTTGCTCGTTTTGATTTCTTCATTCAGACTCAAACTATGTTTTATCAAGATTCTCAAAATACTTACTGACTTCTTTTGATTTTTAGATAACTGGAAAAAAAAAACATTTTTTTAATATATTTGCAAATATCTAGATCTTTTGGTGCATGTTTGAGAAATTGAAAAGTAAAAGAGCACTAGTTAGTAAATACTACAAAAATATTAAAAACTCTTGCCTAGCAAAGAGTAAAATGTCAAATTAGACATTTATCAAGAAAAATTCAACTTTTGTTGATAATTGCTTAGTCTGACAAAAGTCCTCAAATGTAGGAGAAGCCCAGTGAGAGACAAACTCACTGCAGTGTAGTGTGCTAGCTACTGTTCTATGGCAAAGCACTGCAGTTCCTGTTTATTTTAGATTTTTCAAAGTTGTTTATGAATTTTTTGAAGTCTGTTTCAACTAGAAGTAGTGAGTTTAAATTTTTTCTATTTACAAACTTTGTTAAATTTATTTTGAAACCTTACAAATTGCCTTAACTTTATTTAAGTAAAATGTAAATTCAGCTGTTCGCATATGTTGATAATTAGGTGACCGTTTAACTTTATCAGTATAAGCTTAATGTTAGAAATGAAAAGTAATGGATTCATTTTGTAACTAGTCAGAAAGTGAAAATCAATCTAACAAACAACATACAGCACAAAATTGGAAATACACAATACAAATGTTATACCCTGGAGTTCAGCAAAAGATACATCACTGGATATCAGAATGAATGTAACTTCTGTTATTTGATAGGATCAGTGGACAGTCATGCTTAAGTATCATTGTGATAAGGTTTAAGTCCCAATTGGCACTGAAAAAAAAAAAAGGAAAGAAAATAGATAAAACAGTTTCATTTATCAAAATCAATGTAGCAGGCTTGGGTGCTTTTTCATTCAACCATATTTGTGACGCATAATTAACAAATTATCAATTAAGGAAAAGCAAGGGATTTTCCTATAGAGTTTCTCAATTTTTTCAGTGATAATTTTTACCTCTTAATGAGCATGCAGGCCTGGAAATTAGAAATTGGAATCAGTTTCTCTCTCTCTGTCTCTCTCCTTCAGTGACAAGTAGTCAGTAAAATTTCCTTACTAAGGGCAATAAAAGGAATCCATTCAGACTATTGTGCTGTTTAACACCACAAAAAGGAACCGCTCTTCCAGTGAAAACATACCTAATTCGATTTTCAGCATGAGGCAGACACAGACCAACTTTAGTGTATTGGTTCCAAAAAAGCTGTGGAAACAAAACATGGCAACAAAATCAACTCATTCCACAACTAAAGTCACCAAAATCCCCTTTCAGTTATTATGAAAATCACCAGTCATATGAAGAAGTTGTTGGATGA